ATTCCCCAGCATCACTTACCTTTCTGCAAAGGAATATTTTCAGCTTGTGATTTTTGTTAGTTTAAAACAATGAGTAACTGAGAGTTCTCTTCCCAGACTTTCATGCCAGTCAGAGCTATCAGTTGTTGTTTATGTTTAAGCTTGATATTATGGTCTAATTAATATCTTGGGTCATTTATAATTAGTAATAGCAAGGAAGCTGGCATTTGAGATGGGTACTTACCTGGAGGAACTGAGTGGAGTTACAGCAGTGCACTTAAATTGAATGTTATGTTATCTCAGTTATGAGGAATGTAACTCAAAAAAGTGTTAAAAAAAACAATGGAATGTGATTATCCCAGCTGCTATTGTCCTCAAAAGATAAAATGTGAAAACAGGACTTAATTACAGTGGTAACACTGCATACTACACAAGCGTGACATTTAAAACAGTACAAAAGAGGAAGGTTACAACAACAAAAAGTATGGACAATAATTCTCTTTTTTGGCGCAACCTTCTTTACTCTGTTGTACTGTTTTAATTGTTTCTGGGGTTAATATGGAGCCCTATCTTTTAGGTCTGCTGCCTCTCTTTAATATCCTTTTGGTTTGGTTCTTAAGTGCTGATCCTTTTGCTGGTATTTTGTTTACAAACATGACATTGTTTGTGTCCAAATCAATTCCTTTACTGAAACGTATCCAAGTTAGTTAACCAATGCCAGCCTTAGAATACAGAATTTATTCTGGTCCCAAAAACCCCATTTGGAAATTACCAAAAAACGGAGTAAAAATGTGCCAATCAATATACTGCAAAATATATATATGTAATATAAGTATTGTGTATATATTTTACAGCACGTTGACTAAAGCATTTTTGTGACATTTAGCTTACAGTTCAAGCGAGAAAAGGTAACCAAGGGAAAATGATATAATGCAGTAAAAATAAAAAAATCTATATTTATATACTCTATATTATATCTATGACATATATATTTAAGAGATTATTTGATGACAGTTGAAGTGGTTCTTTAATCCTTGGGGGTCTTTGCATAATTCACAAAGAAGGTGACATTGTGGAGGCCTTGGTAAAGCTGAAGGTAACTATATGTACCAAAAGCTTTCCTGTATAGGTGCCATCATCTTTATACTACATCATGAAGAATCACACAAGACTGAGGGATCCACCATAGACTAATTCTCATGATGTGCAAGAATATGCCTGTTTTCGACAGCGGTCATTAACAACAGGTATGGGAATCGTAAAAACTTGACTGCATAAAATACTCAATAGTGACATCGTATTGACAAAGCTGCTTTAAAATCGGAAACGTAACATGTTTTATGTGTGTTATAAACAGAATATGGGTATAGAAGCACAGTATGTGGAAGGGAAACTAGTTAGACACGTTAACCCACCTCCAATGGCCTTGTGTAACAATATTTACTGCTAACCACTCATTGAGGCTAAAACCAATGAAGTATAACAAAATCTCTAGATCGGTTTTTGGCCCCTCGAGGATTGTAATTGTTGATTTGTGCCGGCTGTTCACAAGTGCACAGAGCTTCGCAAACATATTGTACACAAAATCTCTTCCATTCACTCTGTACATGAGGTTTCCTATCGCTCTAAATATACGGTTTAATTCTAGCATTCCACCGCCCATAAGTAGATTATGATATAGTTAAAAAACAAATGATCGTGTAAAGATCAATAGATCTGCCATTCTCCTAATATAGGTGAGTGAAAGTCTTTAAATGTTTAACGTTGTTTTATCTGTTGTACAGAACTGATATTTATGTTGTGCATTTACTCTGTTTGTTTCATGCAACAATGTTCTAAAATATTTTACCAGTTATTTGAAAAATGGGGTGCAGGACTAACACATGCTGATCGTATAAAACACTTATTTCTAAATGTTGTTCAGGGAAAAAGAAAACTATTTAAATATTTAAATGTTTGCAAAGGCAATTTTTTGCATTTACTTCTTCCAAATTTTAGGTCAAATATCAAAATTTGGTCTAGGAGAACACAATCAGAAAAAATAGCTGTTGAAGAATTTCCCAGCTTGAAGATTTTACCCCAACATTCTGCTTAATTGATAATTGTAACAATATTATGCAGCACTTAACGTATTACCACACAGAACTTCCAAGGTGAATCTGTAACACATTCAATACCCAGCTATTCTTTAATCATCCATTTCTGAGATGTCATAATAATCCCTTGTTACTAGACTCCTGCATTATCTCTTCAAATACTAGATGTAAACATATTATGTACTAAAGAATCCAACAAAAGTGCAACACTAAAAACAAGAAAGATGATAATCTTCAAACACAATAGATTTTAACAAAAGTAATGTTTTGTATATTTGCACTGAAGTCACTGCAATAGAGAGAATATCTCACAAAAGAAATGTATCTAGTAGACGCAAGACCTTTGATGTAAGGCAAACTATTTATCAGGCCAGGATTTTATGTTTCTTAAAAGAGGTACACAATGCAAAATTAACAATTCAAAGGCTGATTCATCTTCTCAAAGTTAGCTCTTCTATGTCTGGCCTTGATAAGGGCTTTCATGCTTGGACATATGTGAATTATACAGAAAATTATCATGTGTATGGTATAATATATAGAAACATAGAATGTGACGGCAGATAAGAACCATTCGGCCCATCTTGTCTGCCCAATTTTCTAAATACTTTAGTTAGTCTCTGGCCTTATCTTATAGCTAGAATAGCATAATGCACATCCCACTCATGCTTAAACTCCTTTACTGTGTTAACCTCTACCACTTCAGCTGGAAGGCTATTCCATGCATCCACTACCCTCTCAGTAAAGTAATTACTGAGTAAAAGTAATTTACCTGTCATTTTTCTATCTTCTTTGGGGCAATCACTAATAACTGACTGCTCATTATTCCTGTTGTCGAGTGGGATCATAATGTTCATTACTGCCGTAGTGATTCTTTGTTTGATGACGGACCTTTCATGAGACTGGGCTGCACAAGAAAGACAAAAACATCATTTTGCTTCCAGTGAGATGATTCTTCGGTTTCACTACATTCCAATACGATTTCATTCTGTTAAACAGCGGAAGTCACATTCAACCAGTTGCTACTTGCATGGTTTTCTGTTTCAATGTAAACATTTGAAAAGCCGGCAGTTTCACCCATGGAAATCAGTGGATTATTACTCTAGCTATCCTGAATTAGTAATTTGAGAGAATACCAAACACAGATACAGACCAGGGCCAGATTAAGAGCCCATTGGGCCTGCTGCTGACAATTATGATGGGCTTAATTACAGAATCTTATCAACAGAAAACCCTAAAATAGTTATATCTCCCAAGTGTCATGTATCTGGTAAAGGTGGTGCTGGAGGAGAACTCACAGGATGTAGCTTTCAGAAAACACATACACTATGCTAATCTCTTGCTTTCATCTTTCAGTGTCCAGTGAAGCAGGATTCGGTAGGCGAATAAATAAAAAGGGTGGGCCACTGATCTGAATTGCGTAACCAGAACCGCACAAAGGGACAAACATGCCCAAGAAGGGGGCGTGTCTGCACAGAGAATTAGATGGTCAGCCTTGCGTGAACGCACGTCAGGCTGCCTTCCAATCATGCAGGATGACCGACCTAGGGCATACTGTACAGACAGCACCCTGAGCTTGGCATAAATGCGTCTAATGATCTAATGATGCGCTCGCTCTACGCTGTCCCCTAGCACTTGCTGGTCCACTCCTCTTCTAACCTTCTGACTAGCAGGCCTGGTTTACAGTATGGGACAGAGAAAAGGTGTATGTAGTGAGTGTAGACGAAAGGGAACATGCCACAGTGTTAGAGAGACTGAAGCAGCAAGAGTATTTGTATACTGCGCAAAGTCAGCTTTACCTTAACTAATTTCATGGTCAGCCAGTCTTTTGTTCCCTACATCTCTCTAAAGTTTCCATACTTAAGCAAGAATATGTGAAGAGTAATATATTTATGGGCCTATTCCATAGGCATGGGCCTGGAGCTGCAGCTCCATCAGCCCCTATATTAATCCGGCCCTGATACAGACTAAGTTTTAAGAAACAAAATACCACTTTTGAATATACATATTTCTTGCTGATTGTATATGTTTCAGAAACAGTTTTTATCAGTAGATTTTATCAGTACGTATTATAATTCATTTCACTGACCCCCCTTAAAGGAACAGTTTACACACTATAGCAACACCATCTAAGTTAAGTTGTTATGGTGGTAGGAGGCCCTCTGGTGCATTATTACCTCAAGAAGTTAAACCATTATTGAATGGTTTAATCCCAAAGTGAGACTCCAGGGCAGATTCTCATGTTAGAAAATAGAATGGTGATTCTGTGGAAAAAGGCGCTTAGAAGAATAAATTACAATACAATACACCACGAAGTGGTAGCAGCTCACACACCAAAGATAGGCACTCTCGAACCTATTAACAATCAAATGTGTACAAAGGATACTATTGTGCAAAAAGATGCAAAAATAGTGAGATATGGAGCGCTGTAACAATAAAGTAAACACTTACTCCTGTAATTCTCAGGAGATATAGATGGTGAGGAAGTCTTTGTATATCCTTATTAGGTAGGGAACCTCAAAAATGGAAACAAAAACAAGAGAAACAGGGAAGCAAAGCTACCCCTAGTGTAGAAATCCTTGGTATAATAGGTAATCAAATATAGATAGCAGTTTGCTTCTCACCTTCTCAAGAGCCAGTAACTAGGCTCCAAGTATATAGGTTTAGTGTCAAATATAGAGTGACACTGCCCTTCTTTGTAGCAGCATGAAGATATCACTAATCAACTTGAATTAAAAATAACATTTATTGTAAATCTAGCATAAAAACAATAAAATCAATATACTCAAGTGATAGTGCTGATCCGAGACGCGTTTCGCCTGTATAATTCGGCTTTCTCAATCGGTAAATACATGCTGCAAATAAGAACTTTAAATATCCCACAATAGTGGCTGATTGGAGAATGGCGTCCGTGATACATCCAATCACGGAGCTCATATCGATGGGAGTGTGAAGGCCCAGCTGTCAGTAATCTTTCCGGTATCGTGACGTCATCACGCACGACGACTCGTGCGCGTGACGTCACTCGCGGAAGTGGGACATGTATAATAGTCCGTCCCTCATTGGTGGTATCTCTCAAAGGTGCCTGGTTTGGGTATCCGAAATGTCCCTTCCGACTTCCAGTCCCTTCCGACTTCCAGTTATGACTTAGATGTGGATTTCCGTCCGTGTTCGCCATTTTTGTCAAGGGCAATATAAGGGAAATCGGTGTTTATATTCAATGTGATGTTAGTCCAGTGCCAAAAGATGTTCCTAAATATTATGGATTCTCCAGAGGCCATATATATAATAAAAAACGATGAAAAAATGATTGGTATATAATTCATCAATATAAAAACATGAAAATAGTCACATCTTACATATACATAATAAATGGGCAAATCGATCTAATATATGGTGAATGGAAATGCAGAAATGAAAAATTGCAATAATTACTCAATATATACAAAAAGGGGTTTATTATAAAAATATAAAAATATAAAAATATCTGTATAAAAAATATATATATATTAAAAAAAAAATATATATATATATATATGTTAAATATATCAATAAATATAAGAATTATAAAACTATAAAAAATGACAAATTTCAAAGTCATCATTCAATCCATGAGGTTGCATGGTATCTAAATTAAAAATCCATTTCATTTCTGCTTGTCCTATATTTTTAATCAGATCGCCTCCCCTCCAATTCATGGTTACTCTTTGAATTCCCATAAATTCCATGAAGCGGGGATCACAATTGTGTTTTTCTTTAAAATGTATAGAAACACTATGTTTTTCAAAACCATTTTTTATATTTCTTACGTGTTCCTGAATTCGTGTGTTCAGTGTTCGAATCGTTCTTCCTATATATGTTAACTTACATGGACAGGTAATTTTATATATGACTCTTGTAGAGTGGCAGGTGATTAATTGTTTAATTTTAAACTTTTTCCCAATATCCCTCGGATGGACAAATTCCTTTATTGATCGTTTTGAACTCTGGGTATTTTTACAAGCTCCACAGGAGCCGCACCCATAAAATCCATTAGTTTCATTGAAAAAAGATGTATTGGCAGAATTCTTTTGCGGTGGTAAATGATTGTGAACCAAACTACTACTTAAGTTTCGTACACCTCTGTATGTAATGGTGGGTGTGTCAGGAAGTAAAGAATGAAGGACAGGATCATTCTTTAGAATTGGCCAATATTTATTGATTATTTTCTTAAATTGCTTGTTATTGCAATTAAAATCACAAATAAAATTGAAACCCTGATATTGTGTGTCCATTTTTTTGTCTTTATACAAAAGTAAATCATTTCTATTCTTCATTTCTACCTCCTCATAGGCTTTCACCAATAATTCATTGCTATATCCCTTCTCTCTGAAATCATTAATTATTTTGGTAGATTGTTCTTGAAATTTTACGTCATCCGTACAATTACGTTTGATTCTTAACAGTTGTGCTTTGGGGGCGTTCAACAGCCAAGGGGAGAAGTGACAACTCTTCTCCCCTATATAGCTGTTGACATCTACCTTTTTTAAAAAAGTACAAGACTTTAAGATGTTCCCTTCCACATATATGTTGAGGTCCAAAAATTCAACTGAAGTCTTACTAAAGTGGCTAGTGAGTTTGATTCCCCAATCATTGGAGTTTAGATGAGTTAAGAAAGTATTAAGAGATGATTCATCACCCTTCCAGATAAAAAATATATCATCTATGTAACGGCGATAGGTAACGAGATTCGCGTCCCAGCCATGGTTGTTGTAGATAAACTCCTGTTCCCAGTGTGACATGAACAGGTTGGCATAGCTGGGCGCAAATCTCGTCCCCATCGCCGTTCCACATGTTTGCAAATAAAACTGGTCACCAAACCAAAAATAATTATTCTTTAAGATCCACTCTATCCCTTCAATAATAAAATTAACCTGGTTCGCTGAATATTTTTTAGAATATTCCAAAAAGTATCTTGTTGCTCTACATCCCAAAGTATGGGAAATAATTGTATATAATGAACTAACATCAGATGTCACAAGATAATAATCTGTGTCCCAAGTAGTCTGTTGGATAATTTGTATATATTGTACATATTGATGGTATCTCTCAAATAACTCGGGCAGGTACTGACAATAGGCTGTAAACATTTGTCAATATATTGTGACAACCTGCTCGAGATAGATCCTATCCCCGAGACAATAGGTCTACCGGGTGGTTTATCTTTATCTTTATGGATCTTGGGGAGATAATAAAATACCGGAATTCTGGGATATTGCACTTTTAGGAATTTGTATTCCTTTGAATTTAAAACCTCACCCATTTTTCCCTTTTCAATTAATCCATAATAAGTGTTTTTAATTTCCATCGTGGGATCCTTATTAAGGACTTGGTATGTTTGTTGGTCACTTAGTAATCTGGAGATTTCCTGATTGTAATCATCCACACCCAAAATGACCACCCCCCCCCCCCTTATCGGCTGGTTTTATAACGATTGTTTGATCGTCTCTTAATTGTTTAAGCGCTTGTCTTTCTTTTGAATTTAGATTCTGTTCACTTGGTCTAAGATTTTTAATTCTACTCACATCGTTCATCACCATATTTTCAAAGGTGGTCATCTCGCCGGAGATGCAACACCTTGGAAAAAAGGTGGATTTATCCTTCAAGTCCGTGTGTATGATGTCAGTATCCGATCCTATCACTTGGCTTGCACTAATGGGATTTTTTAGAAAAAAAATTTTAAGACAGAGTTTCCTCTTAAACCTATTCAGGTCCAGGTATATACTAAACTTGTCAATTGGTTTCGTGGGGGCAAATTTGAGTCCCTTTTTCAATAATTCTATCTGGGGTATTGTTAACTCTCGTTTGGAAAGGTTGAAGATTCCATTCTTTTTTGGTGTTTTTCTCTCCTTTCTTTTATGTACCCGTGTGCCTCCTCTACCTCCCCTTCCTCTAGACTTCGTCTCCGTTTCCCTGGTGATGCCCGATATGTATGGGTTTCTTTGTAACGCCCCCTTCCATGTCGATACCAAAAATCCTCATCATTTGAGGGAATATTCAAAGATTGAAATCTGTTATAGTTGGGGTGAGTTACCTCCTGATGTGTATTGATGCGTAGCCTATTATTATAAGGTTTGGTAGATACAACATCAGATCTTGGCATCTCATCATTGTGTCCTTTTGGTGATCTTATCTTTTTTCTCCTAACTACTGTTTCCCATCCATCACCAGTTTTAACTGGTGATCTAGGTCCACGTACTATCCTTTGTGTTAGTTTAGATGGACTTAGAGGATTTCTAGGCCTTATTCTACGTGGTGAATTATATATCAATGGCTGATTTGTTCTTGTATTACGATATCTTATGGTGTGTGTATTAGGTGTATTCTGCCAAGCATTATTTGGAAGTCTCTCTTTTCTTTTAGTGTACGACCTCACTTGATCCCTCGCATAGTCATCTTTGTCTCTTAAATACTTCCTTTTTTTTATTTCTATAACATTCCTCTCTAATCTCTCCAAATTTGTCTGGATTTCATTTAATGTCTCTGAATACTGATCAGGAGACATATTTTCAATCAGAAAATTTTTTACTTCATTAATTTCGTCATCTAATTTTTTTAGAGAGTTTGTACGTCTCTTAATAATCAAATCCATCATTCCAAAAGAAAAACTTTCCAAGAGATCCATCCATTCTTGTAGGAAATCCTCTTCCTCTTGATCAAATGAGGGACTCTTGGAAAATCTCAAGCCCCTTGGAGTAATTTTTTCTCTATTATATTTACTAAGTGTAGCAATCTCCCATCGGATTTTTATTTCTTTACCCAAAAGCTTTTCCAATTTATAACAATTATTACGTATTTCTACTTTTAATTCATGTTCATTACTTTCCCTTCTAATCAGAGGGTTACTAAATAGAGAATCAATATCATGTCCATATTTAGATCTCCTTTCAAACAGGGACATATTATAGGTAGCAGCACTCCCATCGATATGAGCTCCGTGATTGGATGTATCACGGACGCCATTCTCCAATCAGCCACTATTGTGGGATATTTAAAGTTCTTATTTGCAGCATGTATTTACCGATTGAGAAAGCCGAATTATACAGGCGAAACGCGTCTCGGATCAGCACTATCACTTGAGTATATTGATTTTATTGTTTTTATGTTAGATTTACAATAAATGTTATTTTTAATTCAAGTTGATTAGTGATATCTTCATGCTGCTACAAAGAAGGGCAGTGTCACTCTATATTTGACACTATACCTATATACTTGGAGCCTGGTTACTGTTCTTGAGAAGGTGAGAAGCAAACTGCTATCTATATTTGATTACCTATTATACCAAGGATTTCTACACTAGGGGTAGCTTTGCTTCCCTGTTTCTCTTGTTTTTGTTTCCATTTTTGAGGTTCCCTACCTAATAAGGATATACAAAGACTTCCTCACCATCTATATCTCCAGATTCTCATGTCCCCCAGGCAGCATCCGGCTTCTGGAATCTCCATTTCAGGAAGCACCGAGTGCCAACGGGGTGAAATGTCAGCTGATGCTCTCAGCCAACCAGTGACCACCCATTCATTCATAAAACTGGTTTGAAAAAGATATGTTTAATTTCTCGCCAATTTTATGATTGGGGAGTCACTGATTGGCTGAGAGCATAAGCTGACAGTTCTCAGCCAAACAGAAGAACCCTTCTCCGGTGGAAACTGGAAACTGCCTGGTGGAGTTGGAGATCGGTGCTGGAAGCTCACTTTGGAGTTAAACCACTTGAGAATTGTTTAATCCTTTGAAGTAAGAGTGTGCTTGGGGCCTCTTCATTTAGATTAAGTTGTTATGGTGCCCGGAGTGTTCCTTTAACACAGCAGGTTTAGAATGTTATTAATCTGGATCAGTTATACAAAATGTTTTAAACTTTGATAGTGTTTGAATGATAAAATAAATTGTAGACTTGGAGATTCAGATTCAGAATAGAAATTTGGCAGAATTTCAGCTGATGCAGTGTCAGAATTTAAAAAATCAGATCTGTAATTTTGAAGAATCAAACATTTTCACCATGCAAATTGTCTTATTTTATAATGAAAAAATGCAAATGTTTATGTGATGAAATATCTGTACATGATAAAGCAGTGTAGTTTCTCTGGCTTTTCACAGATGAAATAATGTTCCAGGGCTAAGTTCTACCATGTTGAGCTCTGACCA